AGAGTTTCCCTCGTCTCTCACATGCACAAACCCAGCCACATGACGTATGCAGCTGCTGACTGGTTGTTTTAACATCTTAAAATATGAAGCATCAACATTTTAAAAACAAAGGTGAAAGGCCTCTGCGAGCTTCGGCAGAAGCTGTGGCTGTTTCTTACCCGGCAGACAGGGCAGGTGTGGACCAGGGCGGCCTTGGCTGCAGTCTTCTGGTCAGCGCCCTGAGATTTCTTCTTCTCTGCTGCCTTCTTGGCGTTCTTCTGCTGGGACTGAATCTTCTGCTGCCCACGAGCCATGGCCCTCAGCTTCAACCTGCAGGAACGACCGGCAACAAGTTATAACGGCACAAGAACCTACCTTATAGTCGTGCATTTCTTTTGCATTAAACGAAGTATCTTCAGGGATCTGAAAACCACATGTTAAGAGTTTATTTCTTCAGACAATAAAGGCTTAAAATCAAACTGATTTGGATTATTGGCACACTGAATTACTCTCTGGTGAAGGGAGCTTGACTGAAATGTTTGTGGCATAGCTGTAATACATTTGTAAAAATTTACTTTGTCAACTTTTTCCATAAAGTTCCGTATAAGTGCCAGATTTTACCTTTCAGAAATAAACATTTGTATTATATGATTACGGACTTCTTTAATTGTCAAAGTGATCCAGCAGCCACAATCTCTTCTTGAGCTGACCTTTATTATTGTGGGGTCACCAGGTGTGTTTGATCTAGCAGAGTCGGATGGTCTTCACGCCTTTGGAGCGGGAGTTGCACGTTTGATTCCCACCTAGAGCGCCTGTATCCAGTCCTAAGGCTAGACCCCCCTATGCTCTCACAGCTAGAGATTGACAAGTGTGTTGTACCATAAAAAAGGTACAACACACGTGCTACGGCAAGGGAGAGATATCATCACCCCAAGTGCGATAGAAGAAGGATCACTGAATGCGAGAGGAACTGACCGAAGCTTGAAACCGGACTATGTGACCTCACGTACCCTCAGAAGATCAACTAGATGATGTGACTTCAGTACTACGGTGTCAGTAGTAAGAAGAGTAACTGATATAATCATCGAAAATAAGATAAGATAGAACTTTATTAATCCCTCGGGTGGGTTCCTCTGGGAAATTCGATTTTTTTTTTTTGATAAGATAAAATGTAGGCAGGTTAGTCGTTATAACATAAATATATTATATATCTACTCAAAAATAATCTCTCAGGTGACTTGCCGTAGCAGTGTCTGGATGCGACTGCAGATACAACTTTTCACACATTTTAAACGATTTGAATTATACAGTGATTCCAAACGCATCAACACAGATTTTATGGTCCCGGGGACCAACGACCAAACTTGATTTACTTAACACTTCAAACATAACTGCCTGGGGGGCGTTACTAAGATGGCTGCAGAGTGGCGAGGTTAGCTTCTAGAAGGACTTTGATATAAATACAATTGGAAATCCGGACGGCGCCAACCAATAAATGATCTTAAGGGGAACAACACGCATTAATCAAGCACCACTTATGACCCTGTGTATATTCTCATAAAAAAGTAAAGGCGTCAAATCATCACAACTTTCAGTCCTTTAAAGATCGTTAACAGCAGCTACCCTCGACGACCGAGGAGAGAGCCTCTAACAGGTTACTAATAACTAACCGATGCCACTGACTTTGTATTGTTTTCCTGACAAAATGTTAAATAAACAGCTGAAAACCGTCATCACCGCCAGCGGGCCTCTCCTCAGCCGGGGCCGCCTTGCTAACCCTGTTAGCTGAGCTAGCTAGGGAAGCTGATATTACACGTGATCGCGAGTTACAGAGCTGTGCGGTGTTTTTATACTAAAGACGAAGCAGTGTTGAGTACAAACCCGGATTAAAAAACGCCAGAATAAATAACAGGTCCCTAACAGGAAGATTTTTTCCGCCGGTTTAACCTCCAAAAGCCGCCCCGCCCTCCCCCCCTTGGCCGTAACCCCCTTTTTTTAATGTGCTAAAGGAAGCTGCGGAGGCTTTTATCTAAGCTTTGAAATGCGACAACGAGACCAGCAGCGCCCCCTGCAGGACCGGGGCGGAGCTTCACGTTCATCCAGAGATAATATAACTATCTAGCCCCGAACGAGTGACGTTGTGATACACCTGAGTTATTATAGTTGTGATTTTTTATTTCATTTTATGCTTGGTTTCAATCTGTAAAACAAAAGCCCACACAATTAATGGAAGTCTTTTTCTCTTTCCTTAATGTCCTGCCTCCGATACAACTTACTCTAATTTTCACATAATTTCCTTAGGGATTATAAAGGTATTCTGATTTTTAAGCCTTTGTTTTTCCTCCTCTCTCTCTGTTGTACATGGCCCCTCTCAGTACTCCTGTCAACTTTATGCATCTTCCTGACTATCCTACTTTTTCTTTGCTGTTTTCCTTTGAAAACTTTCCTGCACTTCCTCATTACATCACCAAGTCTCCTTATTTTCTTTCCTCTGTCCAGAGGATGTTTCAAACACCTCAGAGAGTGGTTTAGAAGAGTTCTCAACATTCTCCTTTCTTGTACTTCCACCATTTAATCCTTGACTCTGTCTTCACCCACTTCTTCTTTTGGATTTCTAAAGTTGTCCGACAGACTATCATCTGATGCTGCCTAGCTACATTTTACAATCTCTATCACTTCATCCAACTTACTCCAGAATTTTTCTTTCTCTTAATTGATATCCAATCTGTGGGGCATATATACGGACGTGATTCAACATCAGCCCTTCCATTTTTAGTTTCAAACTCCTGTCTGACTCTCTCTGTACCTCCAGAACATTACTAACATGCTCTTCCTTCAAGATTAATTCTACCTCATTTTTCTTCCTATCTACAGCATGATAGAACACCTTAAATCTACTTCTAACGCTCCCAGCCTTGTTTCTCTTCCTCTTGGTCTTTTTTCACACATCTACCTTCCTTCTCCATGTCATATCATCCTGCTCTCTCTCTTAACCAGTCATAGTCTCTACATTTAAGTGTCAACAATATCACCGTTTCCACTGGCACACTATTAGCCAATAGCACAGGAGGCAGTTATTGTTAATCAGGGCTCCATCTGGTCTGGTAGAGAAATACTGTGATTTTGGATGTTTGATTTGGGAAAGATTGTATACTGGATGCCCTTCCTGATGCAGCCTTCACCATTTAACCAGGCTTGGCACTGGGTCTAGGAGCACATTAACCACGAGGGAAGCCACAAGGCAAAGTGTTATTGGGTGTGTTGTTTAGATCATATCATGCCCTTCTGTTTATCCTGATGTAAAGACCCTGCTGTATGCTGATGACACTGATGTATACCGGGGGTACCATGAGAGAAGACCTCATCAAACAGTCGACATTTTATGAAAATAAAAAGCAGACCCGATTCATATATGAGACTGTATCAACCCTGCTTTGTACCATGACATTCATATACATATTATGCTGATGTACCCCAATGCACAAAGAGAAATAAATAAATAAATAAAACAGAACTGAGCTATGATTTAAGAGAAACCACTTTTATTTTGCAGAAAAGGAAAGGAATTTTAGATTTTGGTTTCATGTGATTGATTGCAGGTAAGTGCTTAACACAGCCCTGGTCTAAATGCACAAATGAAAGGAAGACTCTCTCCACAAGGATGACGTTTCAGTGTGGGGTAATCTGATAAGAAAACAAGAGGAGTGACCATTCTGCTTTATATTTCAGAATGCATTTCTGCAGTCACTTGATTTAGTCACGTTACAATATACCTATTGCAAGGCAACGTCCCCATTTATTCCAGCCCTTTAGCAAGTCAGGGGCCATGAGTAAATCAGTTCCTGAACCATCACTCCATAGCCAATCTCCAAACTGTAAAAAACAAAAACGACAAGCAGCGTCAAGCAATGTAAGAAGAATTCAGCTGTAAAAATAAAATCACAACAACAGTCAAGGCACGTATTTACAACAAGCAGGGAGACATTCATTCTTTAGCATAAATGTTCTGCTATAATAACAATTAATTGCATTTTACATTACCCTGACAGCATCAAAGGCGCCAATCCAGGCCGGACCATTGTATCCCATTTCATTCATGAGATTTATTACGAAATAATACTCATCCCATTCATGGATGGAGGCGAGGTTGGCACCAAACGACCAACAATATTCCTGTAAAAGCAGACACATCACAGGCAAACACCGTGCCTCAGACTTCAATGGTAACTGCACGCTTAAGTTACTTTTATAAATACTAAAAATAATGGATTTCTGAGTAATTTCTAAAGGTCTTCAGTAGAATTATGATGTAACACGGTTACCTCGGCATCTATCCAGGGCCAGGGGGATATTAAAGAAGCCGAAGCATCGCCCCCAGTGCTCCTGAAACTCAGGGGGACAGTTCCCTCCATGTTGGTTTGGAGGCTCAGCGAATCCCTCTTTCCCTACAGCCGTCCTTCCTGCTTTTTGCAGCGGCTGCCCTCTCTTCATCTCTGGTTAAAAAAATAGTTAATGAACTACATCCTGAATTGACCAGAGATGAAGAAGTTCGAAATTGGGAAAAGTGCTGGTATTCCATAAACAATAGACTTAATTCAGAGAGTTTCTCTACATTTTATAATTTCTTTTTTATATATAATGAAAAAAAATTTACACAATTGCCATGCAGGCGAGTCTTTATCCTCCACGCTCACGTCCTCTACCAGAGGCCTAGGAGCTTGAGGTTTTTGCTGTTCCTGTTACAGAGATCTTGGATGACATTCCCCTGTGATCTGCCGGAGTCGCTCGCTCAGTTTGGGGGTCACTGACCGAGGGCTTGGATTACCACGGTGACCACTGTTGCCTTCACCCTTCACATCTTCTCCAGCTACTTTCTCAGCTCTTGGTATTTCTCAAGGTTCTCGTGCTCCTTCTTCTTGATATTGCTAGCACTTTGTATAGCTACATCTAACACCACAGCAATCTTGCTCTGGTTGTTCACCACTACTGAGCCCAGTTGGTTAGCCATCATCAGAGTTTGTCCGCCTGTATCTGGAAGCATGTAATCTTGCTAGCTTCTTGCACCCTGCTGTTATGTGCTGGGTTGCTCAGGGGCTTCTTTACACAGCTGGAGCTTGTGCTCAGAGCTTGTTCCTGTGCTACCAAACCAAAGTCCAGCTTGCTGTAGGTTAAGCCCCCCAAAGCCTACCTCGGTACATGAATGGCAGATATATAACTGAAGTTGCCTGGACTAGCAAGACTCACGTCAGGTGTTGAGGCTACTGGTACAAGGCTATGGCATAAGTGCACAGGGGATGAGAATAGGGAAAAGTTGGAGTCCTACTACATAACAATATACAGGAACATCTGTGCTGAGTATGGCCTAAATGTCCCAAAGAGATACACCCCCTAAGGTGGTTGAGAATGATCCTATGGGACAAACTGGTTATGGCTAATTAAATGGACATTGTAGTGGTGGACAAGCAGAGCAAGAAGGCCGTAGTGATAGCAACATTAGGAAGAAGGAACATGAGAAGCTTGAGAAATACCTGAGAGAGCTGGTGCAGAAGATCTGCTCCTCGTAGTAATCAGAGCATTTGGTGCAGTGACCCCCAAACTCAGAATGATATCTAAGATTTCTGTCTAGAAGAGGAAAGTCTTAGGAGCAGCATGGATACTGTACAGTACCCTGAAGTTCCCAGGCCTCCGGTAGAGGACCCGTGATTGAAGGACAGACAAGTTAAGAAATATTCTCCCTTACCATCAGTCCTGTTTTGCTGAGCAGGGATCAGCTCCAGTGGTGACTCTAGTACAGAACATAACAAGAATGGATCAAATGTAGGTTTTAATGTACATTGTCAGCTTTGCATGTGCAGCAGGACAGTAGAAGTGGCACTGACCTGCAGGGAACACAGTTACTTACACATTTGTACCATTTTCTTCCAGTTAATTGTTATTGCACGAACAAAGCCACAAAACATAGAAAATACTTATCTGGAGAAAAAGTTACCTCTATGTAGCCTCTGTGCTGGCAGTAACTAAACTTTGACCTACTTAATGTTAAAGATGCATCACAAGGACTTTTACCTTGCTTCATGTCAGGCACTGGA